GAGGAATATACTAGAGAAATATGTATAGGTGCGACATCACCGTAACAATCATAATCAACGATATCGTTTAAGTTTTTGAGTTAAACCTAATAGCTAATTTCTGGCCAAGAAAAAGGAGACATTTCTGTATTTTCAATAACTCATCTGACACTTTGTACTGTAAGATGATTTCTAACACAAATCGTTGTCGTAAAACATTTTAACAAAAATCTAACGATGTTCCACTTTGATCTAGGTTTGATTATTAATATCTGCTTCAATTTCACAGTTCTAGGTACGGTTCAGATGATTAGTTTCTCACTATTTTCTCTTCATCAAAATTTACTTGAAAATAAATAACGTTTTCATATGTGTTTTTGAATGTTTTACAAGGAGTATAGATTACAAAGTAGTTTTCTCTTTAATACTATCAGATGAAAAGACTTGTAATAGAGTTCTCTTTGTTCAATTGTTGTGAAAGGCACAAGCAACTGGCTATTGCTGTTGTCAAGTTATTGAGATTACATTGAAAAGTAAGATTCTTCAACGATGATAATAATATAACTATTTTTTTTCCAAGTAAACGACAGGAAATTGATAAAATGATTTTCTTTCCATTGAATAAATGCCAACTTATTATTTAATTTCAACACAGAAATAATGTCATATTATCTTCTGGATTAAAAATTAAATTTTTATTTAGTATCTGTTTCAGTCAGATAAACCTAAATTGAAATAACGACATTGATTTTCTATGACGATTTATATATAGTATCTAGAAACGTATCTGACAAAACTTAAACCTTATGTTCTTTCAACTTTTGTTTGTTTTTGTTTTCGTCTCTGATAAAAAAATTTCGTATGCCAAGAATATAAAATATCCTTGAGAAATCGATGACAAACGAAATAAAAAAAAAGAATGTATGCTTGTGTTTTGTTCTTCAATAAGCAAGTTTTTTGTCGTTTCGATGACTAGTGTTTTGATTTCTTTTTCTTTCTTCTTATGTTATCACGTTTTTTTTAAATCTCTTCCTGAAAATGAATTTGATTGAATGATGACATTCCAAAGGAACGAAAGATAAAACCAAAAAAAAAGTTCTATCAGTAAAAAAACTAATGCAACGAATAAATTCATCATGACTTTGTTTTGTTTCGACTATGGTGAAGATAGTCGGAGCAAGTTCAAATATGTGGATAGCTTTTTTAGAATTGAATATAGATTTAAATCACCATTTCCTTTTTTTGAAAATATACTCATGATCATAACAGATATATATTTGTGTCAACACCACTAATGAATCTTTTTGAAAATGGTACTTCAAAAAAATAGAAAATCTTGTCTGCGTCTATAAGTGATTCTTGCTTTTGAAATTTTTAAACAACTCTTTCTATCACTATGTTCGCCGTATATCTATCGATAAATTCCACAGAATAAGAAAGGCCAATTTAGTTCCAACAAAAAAAAAACGTTCTTGTTGCAAAAATGAATTTTTAGAATTACTGATTTGTATTTAACATCATCTTACATATAATGTATTAAATCACATCATTTTTTCTAAAATACTTCAGACAATAAAAGAAATTTCGATCGAACCAAAAAAAAAAATCTTCCTTATGTAATAGATTACACTGAGATAGTACTCAAGTTAACATTTAAAATGTAGGAGTTTCATAAATATTAATAGAAAGAATCATACAAATTTTTCGGAAACAATATGCATACGAAGCATGATGATTAAATTGAATTTCTTTTACAATCTCAAACCATCAATTGTTGATGAATCTCAATAAGCACACTTTAATTTTAGCTAGCATACGTTTATCATTAGAATGAATATTCCTTCAAGTATTCAGATAAAACTCCATCGAGGGTGGATGTGGGTGTGGGAAAAGAGATTAGCAACACCCACACCCTTATATATAAAGCATTTTGAAAGTTTTCGTATGAAAAATACAGAAACATACTGTCAAAAATATAATTCGCGGAATTGTTTTGAAAGGTTATGTTGATAATCGTTCAAATGAAAAATTTATCAATGAATCGACAAATAGTGTTTTATATTGTTCGTCTTCATATCGAAACTTCTCGTTTCATTATAAAAACTAATTGATTGATCTCAATATGAAAATCTAAAAGATCATCTTTGTCTATGAGAATTCACTTTCAGTTGAAATATCTTTCAAATATTAAAACATTTATACTCGTGAAACTTTGTTTCATTCTTCTATATCAATCATTTTTGTTGTTGTGGAGGCAAAAGCTTCGTAATATCTGCGAAAAGTGTTTTTAGGATAAGACAATTCTCTTGATCTCAGTATGAATGAAAATTGCATAAAATTAAGAATGTTTTCGATATTAAGCATGTTCTGTAGAAATCGCAATATTTTTTTGTAAAATATACACAAAAAATTATCAATAACATGTATTTAATTACATTGACAAATTCTAAAAAATACTAATGAATATGTTAAAAAAAGGTATGCTGTGGTACATACCTAAGAGGTCATGAATTCATCCCCAAATATACAGCTGATAATGCAGTATATATTATTTCTATTTTTAGTTTTTGAGATCTCTCTATCGACAAAAAACATTCTTTTAATGCATTTTGAATAGATAACAGTGGTGTTAAAGCACTAATATATGTAGATTCTGTGAGTAGTTTTCCATAGTCGACTGAATTTAAGACACCGATATCAAAACATACATAATCACTCCATAGTGATGTGATAATTGAAAGAGTGGTTGAACTAGATTTTATAAGCACTATCGTTGTTACACGTTTCACTTTCTTTTGAACGTAATTTAAAGTAACAGGTAAAGATGAGAAGGACGTCGTGCTTTTGCCGATCACGTAGTAATGTTTTCGTTTTAAAATTTACCAGTGAATCAGTTACTTCTATTATCTAGTTATATATGTTAGTTGTTGATATCCATTGAGTTGTTGAAATAGGTGAAATACAAGAAAGAAGAGTTGCTTTGTTGATTGAAAATCTTAAACTGTAAAAGATATTTTTAATAAAATCTCTTCAGTTTAATCAAAATCTCATGAATGTTTTCATATTAATCAATGAAATTGATATATTCGTGTAGGTACCTAAAGGTTCACTGTCTGTGAAGTTACATGATACACTGGGAGTGAATTACTATTTTGTGTAGATGTCAACTTGAGACACGATAACAACAAATCCAAGTGAAAAATAAAGATGTGAATTTAGTAGTTGATCGTAGTACTCAACGATTGTGCATTTTTTCATTGAATTGGTGTATTTAGTTTGAGACAATTACAAGTAACTAGCGACTGAATTATTGAATGTAGGACGAAGAGATAATGAATTATTTTTTTTGTCTTTTATGCGAATTGTCGATCAGATAAAAGAACCTCTTTCTTCATACTATTTAGCTTTCATTAAAAAAATTATTTCAATACTTTTTTGTTTTTTCATCTATTCAAATCTTTCGTCAAACTATTGTCAGTATAATCTTTATTTCGACTGAGCTCGGGTATTGGAAATAATGTGATATTTGCAGATACAGGATTTGTAGTGGTTTCTCTTGGACATTTATATGAAAACCTTTTTGAATCTCATTAAATGTCAGAATAGATGTTTGTGCATTGTTAAATATTTTTTCAGACATATTTTGAAATGAAAATTGTGTGAGATAATCTCATTATAAGAATGAAAAGCATTTGCGTTTAACGATAGGATATTTTGTTTCACATATTACAAGAGAAATACTTAATATAACACTTGAGGAAAACAATATCAAGAGTGTAGACCAATGTTCAAGTTATAGAAAAGCTCGAAAGTCATGATAAAACTGAAAATGTTTTCCTTCGTCTCTTTAAGATCTAGGGTATAGATATGGATGTGCTTGAAGGGACGAACATCACCCACACCCCAAAATTCTCTCGGTTGACAAATCTTACAAAAAGAGAAGTGCATCGATATGCATACTTCAAGCTCTCACCCACACGTACATCTATAGTTGAAATTAAAAAGCATACTCAAATCTCTATGATAATAATTGAAAGAATCCAATTATTTTCCATTTGAACTCATTCCATCAATTCACCGAATGGAACGATCATTTCTTTCGAAGTTTTCAAGCCTTGGTAAGTTACTAATAAGAAATTTTGAAGAATTAAAAATGTAATACATCCAATTAAATTTTTGAAAATGACAAAAATTTTGTTACAATTGATTATTTCTTGTTTTTGATCATTAAACTTGAAGACAATATGCTTTATTCTAGACAAAGGTAAGTATAAGATAGAATAATTAAAAATGATCATATAGTTTCTTTCATTTGATATAAAATTGAATAATTTCATTTATTAAAAATAATCCCAACTCTAAAGAAAGAAAATATTTAAAATTGTTTAATTCAGTGCATTCTACATCGAAATCGAAAACAGACAGCAAGAATATATTATTTTAATATGAAAAAACATACGATGTCGATTGACATTTACCACTTAGAGATTTACGAATCTAAAGTAACAGCTTATTATAATATTAATAATTTTGAAAAGAAACACCATGAAACCTTTCAGCGTTTGAATATGTGTTCTGCGACAATGAAAGTTAAAATAACATTTGATTTTGTAAACATCTCTATCAATGTAATCCTAAAAAACGAACATCGCTTCTTAGTTTTTCATATTTGGATCAAAGAAAAAGATTCAGTTCTTTTTTTTTTCAGATATGTACTCTGTATCTAACTTAGATATTCAATTTTTAACCGTTTACATTCTGAATAAATAAACCTCATAAACAAGTTCATCGTTATCAAACCATACAACAT